CCTAAGTCTCTCCCATGTGTGTGTGAGATACACACATTAATAAACTTCCATTTGTTTTTCTTTTGTTAATCTATTTTTGTTGATGCCCCAGCTGAGAACTTAGAAGGTAGAAGGAAAAGCAATACGATAATATCTACATTTCAGAACCTTTCTGTTGAGCCTCATTCTGGCCACTGTGTACTTCTCACTGGTTGCCCAACTGCTTGTGGTTTTCAGAACACAGCTTGTTCTTTTATAACTCTGTGCCTTACTCTTTCACACAATGTCACTGCTTCTGGCACCCCTACCCTTATCTCTCTCCCGACCTCCCATCTGGCTGTGTAGAAAATATCTACTCCTCATTTCAACTCAAGTATCATCTCTCTTATTCAGCCTCCTTTGACTGTCCCAGGAAGACTTAGACCCCTTTCCCCAACCCCGAATTGTATTCTTAACAGAATACAATTGTGTTCTCTATCCCCATAAGTCCTGAACCAATTGAGAAATGGACATAGGTATCAGATAAGGATCAAAATTAACAGCTTTGTGACAAGTAAAGCTGGATTGGAGAGTTGGCCTTGCATCCAAGGCCTCCCACCCCTCCCTATGCATTAGACTGGCTTACGCTCCCGGTTTCAGGGCAGAGAAATTCTGCCCCAGTAATGTGCCTCCCCACGTGCACAAGAGGCAGAGAGCAGGTGGTGAATGTTTAATGGACAGGAAGATCTTAGCCCAAGGAGGGCTAAACCACACACACATGTTCAGTTTTTTTTTACCCCATCTCACCTATCAAATAAGTAGCTCTTCCTGACCCATAAATGAGTGATCTTCTGCCTTTCTCCAGCCATAGTTGTTTTCAGGCATGAGTGTCAATGAGAAAACAGTTGAAACTGTCTTCAGATGGATCCTCTGAGAGTGTTTTTGGTTTTATGTTACAGACTACCTGACTTACAGTGGCTTGAGCCATAAGGATATTATTATTCATTTAAGAAATGTCTAAGGCAGGCAGTCTGGAATGGATTGAGCAGTTCAGTGATTTCTTCAAGGACCCAAGCCATATTTTTCTTCCTCTTCATCATTCTTAGCATTTTGATGACATCTCCCCATCAGGCTTTTCACTTCATGACTACAAGATGGCTGCACCAACTCCTCCCATCATGTTGTAACCCCACAGTATCCAAAGTAAGAAGAAAGGAAAGGGGACAAAAAGGGCTTTATTTTCACATGCCTCTCTTTTACCAAGGAAAAACGTATTATCAAAAACTCCTAGTAGACTTCCCCTTCTGTTTCATTGGCCAGAACCTGATCACATGCCCTCTGACTAGACCAATCATTGCCAAAAGGGGACGGAATTGCTGTGATTGGCTGAGACCAACATGATTCATCCTCTGGAACTGAATACATTGCTACCCAAACCAGATCAGTAAAAAGGAGAAGGCTGACAGTAATGAATTGTCGCCACAACAAACAAGAATGGAAACAAAAGGAGA